TTATTAACTATAATTTAATTCAAAATATAAAGATAAATTATTTAAAACAAGGGTAAATTATACCATTGACCACCTAACTATTGTCTCTTTTCATTTTGACTATCATTTTTGATAATTTGTCAATCCAGTACTCAACTATTTAAATGCATTCAATTAAGTCATTTGCCTTAATATTTAACGGAGAAGCTGATGTGACAATTAAAATATATGATATAATTACACATTTGGTTACTCTTACTTATATATTCTATCAATTTGGTCATAATTTTAATAAATTAAATAAACTTAACCCTTAAATAAAATCAAGCGGTGCCATGTGTAATGACATGTGTCACCATCCGATTGGATGATTAAATTTATTAATTATTTTTAATTTAATATATATTTTCTCATCAATTAGAGGTGACATGTGTCACCCTCTAGAGAAAAGAAAATTTTGAAGGTTCAACCATTGAGCCAAAGTAGTTATTTGGTTCAAACTTGACTACATATATTATATATATATCTTAATTGAAATTCTTAATATTTTATATATCTTAACTGAAATTCACATATTAAATTAATTTTACATCTTATCATTAAAAATATTTTTTATCTTAATTTATTAAATATATTTTATTCTTTTCGTAACCTCAAAATATATTTTATTCTTATTTTAATTTAAAAAATATATTTTAATCTCATCTTAAATTAAAAAATATAATTTATTCTAATTTTAACTTAAATATTTATATTTTATTATAATAATATTTTAAATTTAAGATAGAAATATAATATTTTTTGTAGTTAAGGTAAAAATAATTTTTTAGTTAAAATAAAATTATATTTTAAATTTAAGATAAAAATAAAATATATGTTTTAAGTTAAAATAGAATTAATTATATTTAATATTTTAAGATAAGAATATAAAATATTTAATAATTTAAGTTAAGAATATAATTTATGTAATAAGTTAAGATAAGAATAAAATATATTTTTTAAGTTAAGATAAAGACTAAAATATATATTTTTAGGTTAAGACAAGAATAAAATATATTTAATAAGTTAATATAAAAATAAAATATATTTTTAATGTTATGATGTAAAATTAATATGTGAATTTAAGTTAAGATATATAAAATATTAAGAATTTAAGTTTACATTAATATACAACATAAATAACATATGTAGTTAAATTTGAACCAATTAACTACTTTGGTTTAATGATTGAGCATTGTTTCTTCAACCGAGGAACCCTATGTTAGATTCCCCCAAAATTTTCTTTCCTCTAGAGGGTAATACGTGTCATGCTCGGATTGGTGAGAAAATATATTAAATTAAAAATTAAATAAATTTAATTGTCCAATAGGATGGTGACACATGTTATTACACATGACACCATTTGATTGAAGGGTTAAATTTATTTTAATTTATTAAAATTAGGACCAAATTGATAGAATATATAAGTAACAATGACCAAATGTGTAATTATACCAAATATTTTAACTGGCACATCAGCTTCTCCAATAAATATTAACGATATGCAGCTTAATTGAATATGTTTAAATAGTTGAGTGACCTAATTGACAAAATTTCAAAAATAGTAGTCAAAATGAAAAGGGACAATAGTTAGGTGGTCACTGATATATTTTACCCTTTATTTTAAATAATTTACCTTTAAATTTTTAACTAATTTATAATTATCCGTTGAGTTTTTTAGAATTTAATTTTTTATAAATTAAATTAATGGTACTCATCATTAGTGATGTTCATCGGTGCTCGTCGAGCGTGGAAGATTTATCCTTGAAACAAATAGATGTATTTTTTATAAATATATATAATTGAATCAAAGCTAAAATTCCATTACATTTGTATAACAACACTCATGGGTGAAAACTACCTCCCATAAAATGAGAAAATTACTTATAGTCCCTTAAAAATCATAAGATTTTAAATTAATTCAATGGGAAAAATATACTTTTTCCTGCCAAAATCTTTATGATTTCATTTTAGCTGGTCTACCTTTATAAAAACTAACTATTTCAAACCAGAATTTATATATCATATTACACATTTAATTAAAATTTATGTATTAAATTATATATTTGATCAAAATTCATGAGCAACTTTAATAGAAATGCATGAATGCATTGGTGGATGTATGTGTTTGTGCCCGCTCTTAAATTCGATTTCTTTTGTTAGTTGTCCATTTTATTGGTAGTACTCATCCTGAAATCTTATTCGTGCTCACTTTGTATGAAAATTTATATTATTAATATATAGTACTCATTTTGAAAACTATTTTTAAATCTGCCATAGCATGAATGATTTTTCATTATGCTATCATTTTTTAAATACATATAATCTTTAATTGTTAGTAATTAGTGTTTGTATTTTGAAAAGGGAAAGGGTTTCCAGGCCCGGGGGTTATTATAAATTAAGGACGTATCAAATTGACCATTGTTGTTAAAGATTTATTTGGATATAATAAAAATTTATAAAGTTTGATATTTTTGAAGAAAAGTAAATGCTTAAAGTTGATTAGCCCTAAATCATATTCAGCAAAAGCTCAAGTCAGGAAAATGAAGCGTCAGGGAGCGAGAGGAAGAGGAGAAACACATCGGCTTAACTCAGCAAAACTTGTTCAGCGTCGTTGGTTATGTTTCACGGGTTTTCTGGATAAGGTGAGCAAGAGAAATCATTCCACCACGTTGAACGAAGCATTTCAGGTGTACGAGCAGGTTCGACACATCTTCATCACTCACAATAGCCAAAAAAGATTCTCACTCCTAGCGGTATACGACATTACTGTTTCATAAACTGATTTCTTGGTCATACCTCTTAGCGGTACACCCTATGCACAGATCCTCCATCCATAAATATCTGTTACGTGTATACTGAAGATACTTAGGCGCATTACGCCTGCTATGGTTACATTGGTTGTAACCCACTCCTACGAGTGTCTCTAGGCCCCTTTGACCATTTTTATCCCTCATGGACTTAGCTTTATCCTTACGGATCATCTTAAGCTCTTACGGACCTTAATCGAGTCAAAACTGATCATCTAATGTGGGTAGTATCGATACTCAAGTTGTAGTATCGATACCCTAGGGTCAAGTATCAATACTCCTATGTGTATCGATACAAAAAATGTATTTTGCTGTGAAATTGGAGCCTCAATATCAGTTTTGCTAGTCTGTAGTATCAATACTAACCATGGTAATATTGATACTCTCCTCTGAAAACCCTAATTTTACCCCCAATTTAACCAATATCAATATTGTTCATCCCAATATCGATACTTGAACCATGAAGTTGATATTTTAAGATAGATAAAACACCCAAAATCATCCTAAATGACTTGGGTTAGTTCCTAAACTGATTCTTAAGTTCTAGTAAGTTATTTAGGGTCTTTAGTTGTCTTAAAAACTCTTTCTTAACACCTAAAAAGTGATTTAAGCTTGAAATCAAGTTTAAACCCTAATATGCTCAACTATACAAATCTTAGCAAATTCTTGAAATTTAAGGAAACTTAATACTCCAAAGGATTAGAATTACACTACCTTGTTGATTGAATTTCGAAATTGAACTCCTTTAGATAGAAATCATCCCCCACCATAACTTGGATGATAAAACCCCCAACTTTCTATTGCAAACAAAGAACCCATAGCTTGAATGGTTAAATCCATGCTGCTTGTGGAATTACGAACGAAAATTAAACTTGAAAGAGGTAAGAAATGGTTCAATGACTCACCTTGGCTTAAGGAGCTTGAGAAAAAAAAGAAGAAAATGGAAAAATGAGAGGAAGAAAATGAAATGAGAGATATAAAAGCTTTCATCCTAAAAAAATAAGGTAAATATATTGTTGGCCCCTCCTCATTTTCCTACTATGCAAAATCCCTTATTTATGGCTAATTGGGCCCAAGACCAACCCAATTAAGCCCAACGATTTGAATTATAAATTTTGTAGGTTTTATTTACCTCTCGGGTAAACCCAAAACTCCTAACCCAAAATTTGAAGTGTTACAGTTGTTTGTCAATTCAAATGGTTTCATTGAGTCTGGATTGAGTTTCTATCAATAGTATTACTTGATGATCGTTAATACGTGATTGCTGCAGATTTTCAGAAATAGTCCAACTAGAAAGGTCTGGTATGTGTCATAATCGGCGGCCTTGTGTGGGTTAGTTTGGTTGTTAAGTTCGGCGCAATGGTTTATATACTGAGTTTTGTAAATACTTTAATATTGGGTATTCTTTTTTCTCCATTACATATAATTTTTATTTACCTTCATTTAGGATTACAAATGATTTTTAACGAAGCTCATGTCTTTATGTCAGATACACCTTCTCAAAAATAACGGTTTGACTATCTCATATTGCAAACAAGAATATATATATATATATTCAAGGAGATAATATCGTCTCGTGAGAAGATCATGTTCTCAGTATTTTAGGTTGATTTGTTTTTTTAATTCTTTTTTAGTTTTGAATTCGATAAATTAAGTTTTATTCTAATTTTTCTATAGTTAAATTATTTTTTAGATCTCTTTTAATTTTAACATTAGACAGATTAAACTATGACCTACATCTTTCAAGCTTAAATATTTTTTATATTTCTATCAATTTAAAAATTAGACCATGATATTTCAAGTTTAAATATTTTTTTTATATTTCTATCAATTTTAAAATTTAAAAAATTAGGATCCCCCTCTATTGGACTCACACTGTTCACAAAATTAAAAAAAATTAGACCATGATAATATAATGTTTAGATTTTAAATTGATAACTTATTCATTAACTCTCATCTTATTACTAACACAACGTTGATCATAATTCGGTCCTTGTTTAGATATATTATCAAGGGGAGCGAAAACAAATGGAAAATAATGGGGGGGGGGAAACAATGTAATATTAATTATGAGTTTCGATCATTGCTACATCGAAGAAAAGAATCGTCAGTTACATTCACTTGCATGAAAATTATAAACGAAAAATTAAGAATGTTGTTAAGGGGGTATCATCAAAAGCTAAGATCAAATTTGGGAGCCATTTTCCCAAAAATTGCTCGCAAACCATTATCCAAAGGAGTCAAATTCAAGTCCAAATCCAAACTTTCGCCATTCGATCTGCAATACACGGGCAGATTTGAAGGAAATGCAGGCTTCCAAGTTTCATTAATGGAAGCTCTATGCTTCCTCATATGGCCTCCCAAAGCTTGCCCCATTGCGAACCCTTTACCGCATATTGCACACTCGTGGATCTTTGCCTTTGATCCATTTGCTGATTCTTCATTATCCCTTGTCAATCTGGGCTTCTTATGGCTCGACCTATGCCCTCCCAATGCTTGGAACGACAAGAATCGACGACGGCAAGTTTTACACTCGAAAACATTGTCGTCGACAGAATGGTCTGGTTTTGGCTTGGTTTCTAGGCCTTGAAACATAAACATCAGACATTTTGTAATGTCCATGGACTCGAGTATCACACTCTCTTCATTTTCAAGACCTCTCTTCATCTCTAACCGACAATTAGAGGCAATGTTTTAGGTTGATGACTATGAAACATTAGAGCTTGTATTTATATGAATAATTTGCACCAAGGATCTTCTATTTGACTGAAACTAAAAGTTGAAAGGTTGGCCTTTTATGGCATTAAATAAATTTTGGTGCTTTTTTTAGCAGCCGAAAAGGAAATGAATGCAACATACGTATGAATTATGCGACAGAAAATGTCACCAATGGCGAGCTGCTATGGCCGTGAACGAGCACTGAAACTTCGGAAATATTATTCTGTTTGTGGGGAAATCTATGGACCCAAAGGGCATTTATAGTCAACATATAGTAGTGTGGCCACACATACAAACAGAGAAATTCAGAAAAAGTTTGGTTGGATTGGACTAGTTTATTCAATTTTTATATTTAACAAATATTGGAGCCATTTCCCCAAACAATGCTTGCTTTACGAACCATTCCCCGAACTAGTCAAATCGAAGCACAAAACTCTTTTGCTATTTGATAATTGCTTAATTTATAAAGCTGGGTCCTTCATGGCATTAAAAGAATGGATTTGGGAGCCTTTTTAGAATGACACCAATCGTAAATGCTTACACAAATGAGAATGTCACAAAAGCCTATGAACTATCACTGAAACTTCGGAAATCATATTTTCATTAATTAATTCAATTTCTTAGATATAAGTTTGTCTGCTTCAGACATGGTAAACCTCGTACAAAAAGGGAGAAATAAGGGTAGCTACCACTGTTGAAATTTACGCGTATACAGGGACATACATACGATTTTATATTATGTGGCGAGCTTGAACTTATAAACTTTTAGGGGTCGAAAATATATTTTCAATAGAAAATTCATCAAAAAAATCTAAAATTTAAGGTAATTTTAAAATTTCAGGTAGGCGACTGCCCCACCCACCCCGGTCCATCCCTGGGTACGAGGAAGAAAAGCTTCAGCTTTCATGGCGGCGCGGGATGTTTCAGACTTTCAGGGCTGGAGACGGGGGCATTCTTTATGGGCATTAGGTGCCTTCATAGCTCCACTTATTAATATAATTGTATACCAATATATACACGAAACGCTCCACTTATAAAGTTATCTATTTTACACAATCTCTATAATTTATTTATTTTATCTTATCTCAAAATTATATTTTGACATACTTTTGGATAGAAACATCGGATCCTCAGAAAATCTAATGTACAAGAAAAAAAATATATGACGACTTATTGTGAGAAAAACTTGAGAATTAAATGTTTTTATATATCATCTAATTTTCATTGTTCGTTATCGGATGAAATATTATTTCCCATGAAGAATTAAAATGATGACATTAAAACATGTTTTTACAGGTATGTGTAAAGCATATATTGATATTATGGAATCAAAGTTGTAGGCCTGCCAGGTTTTCCACTCACATCACCATTTTCATGTTGAATTTGTAGGAGATTTCAATTGTTTATTGGATGGTTCAAAGATTCGAGTTCTAATTTGAAATAAAGAATGCTTGGAGCGTGGCTTTCTCGTTCTTGTACCGTAATATTGGAGGCCTTAGTAGTATGGTGTTTTTTGGCTTTTTTTTACATATGTTTTTTGTATTCAAATTACATAATTATTTTTGTTGTTTTGCATTAGAGAGCTTTACGATCTGTTGTTCATTCAACCTTGATTATCTCTTATGATAATGGTTATGGTTCATTATAGCAAAACAATTTCCAAGCTCCCCTATTCTTCTAATTTTCATCTTATTAGCATTATGATTGACCAAAGTCACGTATCATTAGGATTTAGGAAAAATGAAGGTTAGATTGGAACTTAAATGATTAAAATAAAATATTTAAAAATTTTGAGTCTAATAATCATTAACGATGAAGGTCAATGCGACGATCGATCACGATAAATCACGGTGAAAATCTAAATTAGTGTCTAAGTGGCTGAAAAATTAATAATAAAAAGTATCAAACTAGTACAAACTTGAAGAGATAACGGTTGATAAAGTAAAAATATTCGATGTATAAAATTTATTCATAAATTTAAATTTTTTATATTTTGATTAAAATAAAATTAAGTAATAAAAATTATTGTGTACAAATGAACATACTTTGAATAACTTTGTGTTAAAAAAGATGATGATGTACGAAATAAGGTACCTTAATACTTAAAGAAGTGGAGTGGTTGTTCTTAGATGTTTTACATTCGAGCATTAGCATTTACAGAGGTATTCGAACGTCTGTGATGTGTTATTATTTTTTGGTGTCTTAACAATATTAATTTATTAGTTATTATATGTTAGAATCATGATATTTCAAGGAAAAAGCGAATGAAATAATATTATTAAAAAATTATATTTCAACTAGAACATATGAACAGATGAGGAAGCCAAATAAATACAAATCAAAAGAAGAGAAGAAGAAAAAAAAACATTCACATGTTGTATCAAATGCAAATATCAACCTTGGGAGCCTTGTTCCCAAACAAAACTTGCAAATCATTCTCCAACGGCGTCAAATTCAGGTCCAAGCAAACAACCCTCCGACTACTATTCGATGTCTTCAACACCGGGACCGTCGAAGAGAGCGGAAACGGCAAGAAGCATTCGTTTATGGCGATCCGATGCCTCCTCATATGGCCACCCAAAGCTTGTCCCATTGAAAACACTTGGCCGCAAATGGAGCACTCATGAGCCTTGGACTCGGTGGATGATAAACTAAGGAAATGCGTTGTTTTGTTTGGTTTGTCCCCCACCAATTTGGGTCTCTTGTGGCTTGCTCGGTGACCCCCCAATGCCTGGAACGAGGGGAAGCACCGTTGACAAGTTTTGCACTCGAAAACATCGCTGGCCGAATGGTGTTTTTGCTCGGTTTCTAGGCCTTGAGATAGCAGCATCAGACATTTCGCAACGTCGAAACCCTGAATCTCTACACACACTCTTCCTCTTTTCATCTCAATATGAATTCAGGGTTTATGGCTAAAGGAATATGAGAAATGGAAACCGGGTGTTTGAAGTGTATATAAGGAAGGGAAAACTCAATTATACTCTGAATAGGGTGGGAAGTTTGACTGCTAAGTTGACTATTCTAAAAGAGAGAAACAAAACAACCCCATGTGTCTGCAGGGACATGGAAGCTGAATCATGAGCTTTAAATGAAACCCTTCAACGTGTTGTCTTGTAATAGAAAAGTAAGAATCCTGGATTTGGTCAAACGTGAGGAAATGTAGTAGAGACAAGGTCACGAGTGGCGAGCTATAATGGTGACTCTCGCTGAAGCTTCGGCTACTTTTTGTTGCACGACATCTACTGATGTATTAGGTAAACTGATGTATTAGGTAAAGCACCAACTATTAGTACCTTTACTAGGGATCACAATTTCACATTTATCTTACATGTTCTCATTCGATCTAATTTGATTCAAGTTAAATTGGGGTTTTTTTAATATTTAAGTTTGAATTTGAATTTATGGCAATTCGACTCAAAATAATATTACAATTACCCTTTATATTAGAAATAATTGTAATAGTAATTGTAATTGTACTCACTTATATTTTTTTCTTCAATTAGATCTTCACTTTACCTAATAAAAATGAGTTATATATCGATCGAGTCGGGCTAGGTGCAGATTTTAACCTAAAATAAAGGGTCAAATTTGGGATTAAATGAGATCTTTTTAAATTCGATTTGGGTTGAATATGATTGAAAGACTTCAATCTTAGATCAAATTCGAGTAGATCAAAAATTTGACTTGATCCATTGTCATCCTAACCTTTGAGATCAACAGATTAACTCAAAAAATAAATAAATTCAAGATAATAGACAAATTTGGAGTTAACCCTAATTTTTATATAATCATTGCTTATTGTAAATTTTCAGGGTTTTACTTCCACGTCTATTTGCTTTTACTTGAGATGATAAACTCGTTTATTTTAATGTACAATAATCGCATGCGATGATGGCATTCATGACGTAACTTCAAAGTCATAAGCATGAGCCAACGAACGAGAAGAAATTGAAATCGGAAATGAAAGCTGTAATTTGGTCAACATATAAGAAAACCTTCAATGTTCAAACCCTTTTCTTTTGTTGATAAGAATGCAGATAAACCAGCTGCCTGTTGCAGGCCTCTTGTTCCCTAGTTTTTGTCAAGCAAAATGGGCAGCAGACGTTGATTTGTTGCTCACTGTGGGCTGTTTCTAGACCGCAATCCCTTCCATTTCGTTAATTAAGCATAATACACAGACATCAAGCATATCTGGTATGAGATTGTTTCAATTTCATAAAAATTTTAGATTCTAAAGTTCAAAAATACAATAATATTTTTATTAAACTAATGTGATTATAAAGTAGTGTTTATTCTAAAGATTTTAAATCATTTGACAATTAATGTGCTCAAACACCTCTGTTCGCAGACGTTGATGCTCAAATCTGATATCTCTAGAAACAATAATAATTCTTTTAACCATTTAGGTAATTTGATTTGTGCACGATAATATTTGATATTTAATAAGAGTGTTTTATCATTGTTATATTCTTATCTAATTTGGTATGGCTAAACTCTCGAGATAACGTTCTCGAATAAATTAATTCACGAGATAATGCACTCCTCAGATTAATTGCTCAAATAAGGTGAAATCTACAGTGTTGGTCGTAGGTCGCCATGCCATCTGGGCGACCTACTAGGTCGCCATGTCTTCCCGGCGAGCTATGAGAGAGATTGCATGTGTCATGCACGTTCCAACACGTTGGGCATCCGAAGCCATCCGACCGAGGGCATCCGACCGAGGCCATTCGAGCGAGCTATGCGAGGGCATCCGAGGGCAAGAGGAATCACGCGAGGAGCAGGAGGAGTGCATGGCGACCTACAAGGTCGCCAGGAGTGCATGGCGACCTACAAGGTCGCCCGGAGTGCATGGCGACCTATGCTGGGAAGCTGCCACGCCGTAGGTCGCCCGGAAGGCATGGCGACCTACGGCCAACACTGTGCAATTCGCCCTATTTGAGCAATTAATCTTGGGAGTACGTTATATCGTTAAATAAAAAATTCGAGAACATTATCTCGAAAATTTTCCCAATTTGGTATGATTACATCTTTATTTAAATCCCTTAATAAATAGAAAGAAGGTTAACTAACAAAAAAAATTAATTATCAGTTAATTTAAATAAAGCAATAATAGTAGGGTTTGCTCTGGGTTTTTCAATATTCGCAAAGTTTAAGGTTTGCATGCAAGTGTCAACGCCACCGCCCCTGGTGGTCGCTGGTCGGTTGTTTCCCCTTCAATGGAGTGGTCAAGGTCTATTTTGGAGGATGCGATCAACAGAATTGGGGGGAAATGAAGAATATCGATGAGTCTAGTGTGATGGCTGCAGAGATGTCGATCTCGAATAATAGGGTTTCTCTAAGTTCTGAAGCAGATATTTAGATGAATGATCTTTCTGCGGGTATAGAACCGACCAGTACCCTTCCTTCTCTTGCAGTGCGTTTTTATGATGCTATGGTGACTAGGGCAAGAGGGTCTAATCTCACATCGAACTCTCCTTTTGGGGATGTGGATATGCCAATTGATGAAGGCGATGTTGTGGTTGATCGAAACGGGGATTACATCATCATTCGTTTCTCAAAGAAAGTTCATTAATCTATTGATCATAACATGAGGCGTTCGGTAATTATCAGGTTATCGACAAGGAAAATCGGCTATCGTGTTCTTTAGAACAAAATCCAGATTATTTGGCAACTCCAGGGTTGTTTTCAATTAGTTGATCTTAAAAATGACTACTTCTTTGTCAAACTGGAACTTGAGGAAGATTATTCAAAGATCTTGACGGAAGGACCTTGGGTGATATTCGATAACTATCTCATCGTCCAACCTTGGTGTCGAAACTTTAACACTTCCGATATCATCCCGTCTCAGATAATGGCTTGGATTTGTTTATCGGGTCTTCCTTATAGATACTACTCTAAGTCTCTTTTTTGACTTATCACTTCAGAGGTAGGGAAAGTGATTAAGGTGGATTACAATACAACTGCTGGCGAAAGGGGTAAGTCTGCTAGAATGGCAGTGGTTGTGGGCCTTAGTGAACCCCTGCTACCTTGTATTGGCATAGATGACTTTGTTTAACAAATTAAATACGAAGGTTTGCAGCAGATATGCTTCAAGTGTGGAGTGTATGGACATTACTAGGAATTGTGTGATTTGGAAATGAATAAGGGCGTTAAACAAGTGAAAGAATGAGCCGAGAATCCTCATCAGGAAGTGGCAACTAAACCTTCAGGAGATATCCTCTATGGACCTTAGATGGTAGTGAAGAATCGATGAAATCGAACCAAGAAGGTAACTGAAACCAGCGATGTGAGGAATTTTAACCCTAACCTAGGCCCTCAATCATTGTTTATTATTTTGGCAGATGGGAACCTTGGCAATGTTGAGAACGTCAACCCAAATGTGGGAGATTATCTGTAGGCGGAGCATAAGGGTAAGGTGGTGTTTGTTTTTGAAGAGGTAAAAGGTCTGCAGTCTGCGGACTACATCTGCAGACATCTGCAGCAGAAGAGGTGGACCAAAAGTCTGCAGTCTGCAAGAAGAATGTTTATTTTTTAACGTCTGCAGACTGCTAAAATAAACTGAAATATAAAATAAACTGTTTTTTTAAACTTAAAAGAGTTTTGCAATATAATTTTAGTTTTATAATATTGGAATTTAAATAATTCATACAACTACAATAATAATTTTTTTTTAGAAAAACAAACATCACATTATTAATTCTATTATAAATCTCACATAATCACATGCATTATTAGTTTTATAAGTTTTACAGAATAAAATTTATAAATGATCATTAAATTATATGTTTTTTTTTAAATATGCAATTATATAATACTTTTAATTTTTTTCAATATATATTCATAATTTATTTTTATAATTATATGATATTTTTAGAATATACTTTTTATAAATTATATGATTTCATATTTTTTAAATCTTAATTTTTTATATTTTTATACAAACATCACCTAAGCAATGTGGTTTAAATACTTACATTTTGTATAAAAAAGTTTAAATATAATTTAAAAATAAAAAATCCAAAAAAATATTATTATTTTTAAACTTAAATCAAAATAATTAAAATAAATATAAAATTTTAATAATATATAAAATAATTTATATGATATAAAATAAATTTAAAAAATTAATATTAAAATTAATATCTATAATATAATATTAAAAATTAATATTTAATTTATTTAAAAAATAATATTAAAATTAAAATAAAATATAATATAAAATTAAATATAAAACCTCTTTGAAGAGGTTAGAATACGTATGCAGACATAAGTTCTGGTCTGCACCGCACACACGTTAGAAGAGCTTCTGTCTTCTAAAAAATAAACGGTCTGCGAAGCTCAATGTCTGCGCGTGGTCTGCACAGCACAGACATAAGAGCTTTGCAGACCTTACACAGTAAAAATAAATACCACCTAAATCTAATCGAGAGGTTGTTATGAAACTCATGTTGGATTCTCCGTCATCTTCGAAGGGTACAAATTTGGTATCGTTGAGGCCTCGTGCTAGTTTGGAGATTGTTACCCCTAAAGTTCTACCTAGGAGCCATCTAAAGGGTAGGAGTAACATGATTATGCAGTCTAGCCCCAAACCAATCCAAGTTACTCCAACAGTGGAGGGTCACGAGCCAAATGTTGTTTTGTACGAAAAGAACGGAGCTCATGGGATTCACAAACCCATCACGATAAATTAAACTCATGCACATCAAAGGAGTTCAACGAAAGGCTGGGCAAATCACAAAGTTGACATCCTTGCCAAGGGAATTAAAGTGGGCATCTCTAAACAACTCCGAGTGAAAAAATAGTCCTCGCCAAAACCAGACAGCCGAGCATTACTATCCTATTGGACACAAGCAACAGCTTCCAACTTGGATGCGATGGGACAAGGCT